AAAAAAAAAAAAAAAAGCCTCAGGTAAAAAGGACCACCCCCTTCTATCACACCCTACTCCCCCAGACCACACCTGTGCAGCCAGCTGGGCTCCAAGGGATGGGACTGGGGAACCATCTCTGAAGCTCCCTACCCACCCATCCCCCCCAACTTGGAATACGGTACCATCTCCCAACCAGTGAGAAGAGGCTGGTCTGTCCTGCAGTCCATTCTGGGCTTACGTGCCCTTGGAGAGTGAAAAAGTTGCTGGAGATCTAAGGGACCCCGGCAGAGGGCCTAGGCCTCAGTGCCCCCTTCATAAAATGAAGGGGTTAGCTTCTAGATGAGTGTTTTTCAAGCACTTTTAAAGGCAAAGCTACCCTTCAAATGAAATGTTTGGCAGAATTGCAATGAAGCAAAGCTGACAGGTACAGCAAGGTGCTGCTCTGGTGGAAGGGAAACGTGGAGCCCTGGGCAGAGGGGGTGCAGCTGCATCCAAGGGGCCCCGGGGGACCCTTAGGAGTCCTGTTGGCCACCGTGTGAAGAAGAGTATTGGGCTGGCTTCTTACCTCTGACTGCTTCCTACTTGAGCATTCCTCTCTAGTACACATTCAACCCATGCTGTTGTCCTTGTATAGTTTTGAGGGGAGGAGGAGGGGGCAAGATGGTAGAGGCCAGACTTGCTCCATGTCTAGCGCCCCGAGAAGCAGCAGTCCTTCCCCTTGTACTCTCAGGCCAGCCCCTCAGTCGAGGCTCCCCCGGGGAGCCCAGGCTGGGGGCTAGAAACACAAAAGGATTGGACTCCTTAATGAGGAGGCATCTGTAGTCAGCAGAGCCATTAGTCCCCGCCCCAGGTCCCTGGGGGGCTGCAAGCTCTTCTCCAGCTGGAGTGAGGAGGGGGAAGGTAGCGCCCCAGCTCCTGAATGGGCAGAGCCCAGGGCGCACAGACAGCAAATCCAGGAGCATAGGTGCCCCCTCCACTCCCTAGGCCTGCATCCAGCCCTGCCCTCCTGGAGGTTGAGGTCTGCAGGCAGCAGAGGGGATCCAGCAGTGACTTGGCCCCCTCCTACATGCTCCTGGGCTGACCTGCAGGTCCTTGGCCAAACATAGCCTTTGGCCTGAGAGAGGGCAGGCTGACCCTCTGGGGATCCTCTCACCAAGCCTGATGGGGACACCAGCTGGGATACTTGCCCCCACCTCCTGCTCTGAGGGCCTCCTTTATAAGACTTCTACCTTCGTGGGAATACATGAGATTATCTGCACAGTACCAGAATCACACACTAGCCACAGGAGCTGAGAGATACAAATTCCCATTCAAATCCAGCCATAGACACTCAGCCCACATCCATGGACACAGCCACATCCTCCCAGAGAAGACAGCTCTGCACACATGTGCAAGGAGCTGCTCACACCCATCAGCTGCACTCCCAGGAGGCCCTGAAAGAGGAGGAGGCAGGGCGGGGGATTTTTATGCATGTTTATATTTAATGAACCACATGCAAATGAGATGGAGACCGTGCCACAAAAGAGTCAGCCCCCAGAGACTCTGGGAAGAAGGGTACAAAGGCTCAGCCTTCTGGGGCTGCCCTGGAGTCCTGAACAAGCCGGTGGATTGAGGGGGCCCGAGATGGGGTGTGCCCACGCACACCAGGGAACCAGGGGCAGGAGCCAGGACAAGCTCCAGCGCCCAACCTGCTGTGGGGGGAGGGCTCCTTCTGGGAGGGGATGACTGTCCCAGTTGATGGAGTGCCGGAGGGGAGGGGCTGCCTGCCTGGACAGATGGTGAGCCGCCTTCCCGCACTTGAAGCAAAGTGGATTTTAATGAAATCGCAGCCCTGGTGCTGAAGCTGGGAACCCACGTGGGAGGGGTGCCTTCCCTGGGTTTACAGCGTGGGGTTGGGGCTGGGTGGGAGTGAGGGTGGGTAGACACACTTAACTAGCCTGAAATGGGGTGTGGGGTGCACCACAGCCCCTCTGCCCTGGGCTCTGCAGACCAGAGTTCAAGCAGTTCAGATCCCCAAAAGGTGGGGAGGGGGTGTCCCTGAATATTTATGACACATTGAAATGTAGATTGTAGGTCTGACAGTCTTCTGTGAAGCTTGTCACCTTGGATGGATATACCACTCTCTCGGGGTGCATCGAGAGACTGCAGAAGAACTGGAGACGGGGATGATGAGGAAAGGCAAAAGAGGCTGCTGGGCGTGGTCATAAAACCAGGGTTTAATGACTGGTGTCTCTGCTGGGTGACACTGGACTGTTTTCCCTCTCTAGCCTCAGGTTCCTGGTCCGTAAACCATGCAGCATAATCCTCCAGCATTGGATACCTTAGAGGGTGTTTATAAAAATAAATCTGGAAGCAGCTGAAAAAGTGGGGAGTGGGACTCGGGAACAGGGCTTTCTCTGGCCTTTGTGGATCGTCAGCCCGAGATCGCCTTGTTTGAGGTCTGGCATCCAAGAATTTGTCCAGACCTCTCAGAGTGTTGCAGCCCTATGCCGCCCTGTACAGGGAGATGCTTCCCAGGGTAGGAGGCAGGGTAAGTGACGAGGTGTCCCCCACGCTGTTGCCCTGCGTCTACCAGCTCCAGGAAAACTCCATGACCCTCGGCAGTGAGTTCCAGGGCTCCAGGAAATAGGACTATGACCCACACACCAACACTCTTTCCCCTCGCACCTTGGCCATATGCCTCTTCCATACACACATCCCTGTGTTTCCCCAGCCATGTCCGACTTCCACGTGCATCCTCAGGCCACCGTGGGAGAGGAGGGCGGTGTGGCCCGCTTCCAGTGCCAAATCCACGGGCTGCCCAAACCCCTAATCACGTGGGAGAAGAACAGAGTCCCCATTGACACGGACAATGAGAGGTGAGCCACACGAGGGAAAGCTGGAGGGAAGACGGGGAGGCAGGCCCAGTGTCTGGGCTCTGAGGGACCTCATGCAGCCTCTGGGCTGGTGCTGTGTGGAGATTAAGTATCCACGTGGCTGGCAGGGCCCAGATTTGATGCTCGGTGGATTTATTTTTAAAGACTGTGTGTGACTGTCGTCAGGGCTAGAATTGTGGTGCATCCACCTGCCAGAGTCCCAGCTTGTGTGTGTGAGGACGATGGTGATGACAGTGTTGATCTCGGGACAGCACCTGCAGACTGGGCCGTGATGTCAGTGTCCATGTGGCCGACGATGGTGACGGTGGTTGTGCTGGTGGTTGACTGTGCCCTTTGCTCCAACAGGTACACATTGCTGCCCAAGGGGGTCCTGCAGATCACAGGACTTCGGGCTGAGGACAGTGGTGTCTTCCATTGCGTAGCCTCTAACATTGCCAGTGTCCGAGTCAGCCACGGGGCCAGGCTCACCGTGTCAGGTGAGGCTCTTTTGCTCTGCCTAGTTCTGCCCCTAACTGCCTCCTGACTTCTCTTCACTCTCCAGTCAGTCCTGCTTCAACTGACCCCTGGAGACTTATCAGCCAGGTGTATGTAGAGCACCTGCTAAGCACAAAGCTCTGTGTTCCTTGTGGTGAAGGTTCAGAAGGAATGAGGCCTGCTCTCTGGCTCAGCTCTACCAGGGGAAGCCCATCCTCTGCTTAACCTGGGGGCTCTCCCATTGCCAGAGGCCCTGGCAAGGCTGGGTGAGGAGGGGTGGATGTGTGCCATGCCCTGGGGCCCCTGGCATCTTCTGTCTGCCCACAGGACCTGGTTTCTGGGCTGGATCTTGTTGCCCATTCCCTATGTCCTGGGTTGTGGGTGGGATGAGGTGGGAAGGGTCACAGCTGAAGTGAAGAAACATGGCATCTTCCTCCCAGGCTCAGGCTCCGGGGCCTACAAGGAGCCAATGATACTCGTGGGGCCTGAGAACCTCACCCTGACAGTGCACCAGACTGCGGTGCTGGAGTGTGTCGCCACGGGCAACCCGCGCCCCATTGTGTCCTGGAGCCGCCTGGGTGAGCCTCATCCTATAGCCCCAGCCTCTCCCACCCTATCCCACTCTCTGGGAGGGCGGTCTCATCACCCAGCTGTGGGGGGGGACTTTGAATCCTGTTTGTTCTCCATGGGGGTCTGTGCTCTCTGGGGCCTTACGGAGGGGCTAAGTTTCCCTCTCCTTGGCAGGACTGGGGAGGGTGGCCTGCCCACCACATTCTCCCTCCCCCTGCGAGGATGGCTTAGCTCCCTGGGTTACCTCATCCAGTCCCCAGCAGTCCTGCGCTGTTCCCGCCTCCAGGCTCCTCTCTCAGTGGCATCAGGCTCTCCAGAACCCCTCAGCAGCGTTCTTTCCCCAGGTTCTTTTCCCTCCTGTGTGTCCCTGCCTTCTATATCCCGGCTGTATTCCCCAGTGGTGCAACTCCAAACCCCTCCAAGTCTCAGCCAGTTGTCACACCCTGTCTCTGGGCCCCCCAGTCTCTAGCCTGGCCCCCTAAATCCCCAGCCTAAATCCCTAGGCAGCTGAAGGAGAGAAATGAAAGGGTGCAGATGGGCCCACATTGTCTGAGTGGAAAGGTCACTAGGGGAAGGAGAGTCTGGAGGGGATGGGGTGGGGTCGCATTCACAAGGAGACTGTGCCACATTGTAGCAGCTGAGTGATTGGGGAAGGAGGGGGCAGCAGGCAGGATAATGGAGTAGATTTCACCACTTCAGGGACTGAATGGGGAGCTGTCTCCTTGCATTCTGACTGTGCTAATCTGATCCTGGGGTGAGGGCGAGGGGGGGGGGGGGAAGGGCCCAGTCCCTGGGAGAGGCTGGAAAGAGTGGCCTCACCATTAGGAGGAGCCCATAGGCACTGCAAGGACCATCTGGCCCAACATTTCCCAAAGCATGATCTGCAGGGAGGAAATAATGGCTTGGTGGTCTAACATCTCACAAGTTCGGGAAACAGATTTAACCAGGTCTCTTTGCTGTGGGACTTTTCAGAGGCTTTATATTAAAGGGCAATGTGACAGTCCATGAGTAGAATGAAAATTTGAGCATGGAATTTTTTTCAGGAGGGACAAACCAGGCTGGGAAACCACCCACCTAATCCAAACCCCCTACTTTCCTGAGAAGGGACTTAAGGGTCACCAGTGAATCAGTAAAAATGCTAGAATTAGGGCCCAGGTCTCTGCTGCTAGGCAAGAGTTTTCAGTGCTGCTCCTGCTTTTTCCACAATACTGTGATGCTTGGGAGAGAAGGTGCAGAGGTCAAAGATTGAGGTTCCTTGGGGGCACCTTGATGGCTCATTTGGTTAAGCATCTGACTTAGGCTCTGGTTCATGAGTTCGAGCCCCATATTCGGACTCTGCTGTCAGCACAGAACCCACTTCGGATCCTCTGTCTCCTCCTCTCTCTGCCCCTCCCCTGCTCTCTCTCTCCTCCTCCCCCCAAATAAAAAACATTAAAAAGTAAAAAGATGGAGGTTCCCTGGAAGACTGGTGGAATGTCCAACAATCTGGACCATTCCTCACTTTCCCCCTCTTCCACACTTACCTCCCTGACCCTTCCTCACTCCTGCTTCCCCTTCTCAGATGGCCGCCCCATTGGGGTGGAGGGCATCCAGGTGCTGGGCACTGGCAATCTTATCATCTCAGATGTGACCGTCCAGCACTCCGGCGTCTATGTCTGTGCAGCCAACAGGCCAGGCACCCGGGTGAGGAGAACAGCACAAGGCCGGCTGGTGGTGCAAGGTACGGACATCGCCTGCCCCACAGCACCCTCCTCCTGCCCCATTCCTTCCTCCCTTCATCAACATCCCTGGCACACGCTCGGGGCCCTGTACTAACCTTAACCGTGGCCCCTGCCCCTCCCCAGGCCTCCAGGCCAGGCCAAAAGGCAGCTCCCACCTTGCATTCACAAGAATGGGGAAGGCATTCTTGGTCAGCGACCCCCTGTGGGTCCCACTGGCTGTCCTTGCCATCCTTCCACCCCCCCACCTCCATTTTATAATCTCCACTGATTCCCCCAACCCCATGTTCTTCACATGTGTCCCCCCTCCCACGTGCTGTTTTCATTCACACACATGTGGCACCTGCAAGCTCACACCTGCTTGCACACTCTCAGGTGTTTGTCATTCTCACACTCACACCCAGCCACATGCACACACACAGCTGGTCTCCATGCGCAGGGTGTGTGGGGAGGGGGCAGGTGTTAGCCTCTGAAGCTGATCAGGTCCTTCTGTCCATTCTCCTGTCCTGGGGCTCAACTGTCCCCATGAACTGGGCTGAGATCCCATTCTCAGGGGTTTTCGGCTGTGACTTCCTCCCAGAGAGCTGGGGAAGGGGTGGGAGCTAGAGGAATTAGGACCTTAAATGCCTGTTTGTTTAGCATTCCATGTGCCGTTAATCTGTCCAAATGAAAGTGATGGAGCATTTCATTTCTCGGGTGTTAATGGAAGCTGGAGAACTGGGATTGGAGGAGGGCGGAATTGAATGTAGGGGTGAGGGGAGCTAGTTCGGAGGGCTCATCCATCTCCCCGTCATTACCGCCTTGGAGGTGCAGCCAAACCTATTAGCACATTTATTTATTTAACAATTTCCTGAACAGGGAGCTCAGCTTGATTGCTTTCGGATACAAATGTCAGTCTTTTAAATAGTCATTAAAATGGAGTCCTCTCCTGGGTCTGCCTCTCTGGGGCTAGTGAGGTGGGGCCTGCCATCATCTCCTGGAGCCTGGGCCAGGGTGAAGGGTGGGCCCCATCTGGAAGATTCTCCCCAAGGAGGTAGACCCGTGTTTCCTGAGGCTACCCCGTCCCCATCGGCACCCCATCCCTTCACTCACAGCTGTCTTGTCTCCCTACACCTACCCCTCATGGCTCCTTGTGCTCCTCTGTGTCCCCAGCCCCAGCTGAGTTTGTCCAGCACCCCCAGTCCATCTCCAGGCCAGCTGGGACCACAGCCATGTTCACCTGCCAAGCCCAGGGTGAGCCGCCCCCTCATGTCACATGGTTGAAGAATGGACAGGTGCTGGGGCCAGGAGGCCACGTCAGGCTGAAGAATAACAACAGGTATGTGTGTGGTGTGTGCCGGGGTGAGAATGGGGGAGGATGTGGGAAGTGGGGCCTGGATGAATGGCCAGAGCAGGCTGTGCCCCTTGTGCCAGGAAAGAGCACTAAATTAAATCTGGAGACTTGGGTTTGAGTCCTGGTCTGCCACTGGCTTGTGGCAAGATCTCAAGACAAGTCATTTGTCTTCTGGAGAGGCTCAGTTCCTCCACCTCTCCAGTGGGGTAATCTGGCCAACTTTTAGGGGTACTCTGCCAGGGAGAGGGGATCTGAGGCTCTCCCTCCCCCTGCAGCACCCTGACAATTTCTGGAATCGGCCCTGAGGATGAGGCCATCTACCAGTGTGTGGCTGAGAACAGTGCTGGCTCCTCACAGGCCAGCGCCAGGCTGACCGTGTTATGGGCTGAGGGGCTGCCTGGCCCCCCCCTCAATGTGCAGGCAGTCTCTCTGTCACCCACTGAGGTCCGTGTGTCCTGGAATGAGCCCCTGGTCAACACCAAGGAGATTATCGGCTATGTCCTGCACATCAGGAAGGCTGCTGGTGGGTGAGGGCTCTGCAGCCCCTTCTTTTTATTCAGTGTTTTTCATCCCTTTCAATACCGCATGTCCTGACCAAACACCTTCCCTCCACTGTACGCCCTGCACACTGGATGCCCTCATTTCACCAGTGCTGGTAAGACTGCCTCATGCCCCTTACATTGCCCCTCCCTACCCTTCACCTCCCCAGACCCTCCGGAGCTGGAGTACCAGGAGGCAGTCAGCAAGAACACCTTTCAGCACCTGGTGAGCGACCTTGAACCCTCCACTGCCTACAGCTTCTACATCAAGGCCTATACCCCAAGGGGGGCCAGCTCAGCCTCTGCCCCCGTGCTGGCCAGCACCCTGGGTGAAGGTGAGGTCCAGGTATTAGAGCAAAACACCACACACGCTTGTTCAGGTTATGCACTACACTGGGCCCCTGGCCCTGAGGCTGAGTGGGGGCTGGGTCTACTTGGAGAAAGGGGCGTCCTTTTCCAACTCATGTAAAGGTACCTTTGAGCAAGTGGAGGCCTGGGGGGCAGAGGCCAGAGAGCTGCCAGGCTCGTGAGGGTATGGGTCACGGTGGAAGGTGGCAACCCCCCTCACATCTTGGTCTCTGCCTGCAGCACCTGCCCCACCCCCGTTGTCCGTGCGGGTCCTGGGCGGCTCCTCCCTGCAGCTGCTGTGGGAGCCCTGGCCCCGGCTGGCCCAGCATGAGGGAGGCTTCAAGCTGTTTTACCGTCCAGCAAGCAGGGCCTCCTTCACCGGCCCCATCCTGCTGCCTGCAACAGCCTCCTCCTACAACCTCAGCCAACTCGGTGAGGCAGACACAGACCACGTGTGGGGAGCTGGGCAGGGGTGCGGTGCCTGGTGCCAGGAAGTGGGGCGCAGGGGTTCCGTGTGTTTCCCTGCTGCGACAGAGCTGCCTGTGGGGGCTGAGGTCACTCAGCACAGCACTGCCTTTCCCTCAGACCCCACCACGGTGTACGAGGTGAAGCTGCTGGCCTACAACCAGCATGGGGAGGGCAATGCCACAGTCCGCTTCGTATCTTTGAGAGGAGCATCTGAGAGGACAGGTAGGCCTTGGGGAGGGGTTGTGGGGCTAAAGACTGGTGCTCAGGAAGGGAGGCCAGGTGTTGAGTGAGGAGGGGGACAGGGATACAGGGAAGGTAGGAGAGTGTAACAGTGCATGTGGCCCTTGAGAACATAGGCTTGGATTGGAGTTTGAAGTTCAATGGAGTGATATTCTAACTGTGTGACCTTAGGCAAGTTACTTAACCTCTCTGAGCCCCAGTTTTGTTCTCTATAAAACAGAGATAATAATACCTATTTTATAAAGCTGTGGTGAGGATGAAATGGTCCTTGTAAAGTGTTATTCCCAGTATCTGGCACAAAGTTAGTACTCAGTAACTAGTAAAGAGAACCGAAAAAGTAGGCTGGGGTCCTATAGGCAAAGACTATGTAGACACGGAGGTAGCTATGGCTGAGGGAGGAGGAGCCCCAGAGGCTACGTGTCGCAGGTACTTCAGGCCAAGAGAGCCACAACTCCCAACCATCACCTGCCCCTAGCCCTGAGCCCACCATGTGACTGCCGGAAGGAGGAACCCACCAACCAAACGTCCACTACAGGCATCGTCATTGGCATCCACATCGGGGTCACCTGCATCATCTTCTGTGTCCTCTTCCTCCTGTTCGGTCAAAGGGGCAGGTGGGTCCTGGGCAGGAGGGGCAGGGAGAAGGTACTGCTATACTGGAAAGCAGAGTTGGGGGCTCACTGTGTCCATCCTTCTGTTTTTGCCCCATCCTCCCCCCCACAGCCCTCCCCCTAACTCTTGGCTCACCCCCTTAGGGTCCTCTTGTGTAAGGATGTAGAAAACCAGCTCTCCCCTCCTCAGGGCCCCCGGAGCCCAAGGGATCCTAGCATCCTGGCACTGAATGGGGCAGGACGGGGAGAGCGGGGCCGAGACAAGAAGCGCGTGGACATGAAAGAACTGGAACAGCTGTTCCCCCCAGCTGGGGCAGCGGGGCAGCCGGACCCCAGACCCGTGGTGAGTGCCCCCACCTCGAGCAAGCCTCTGCTTCAGGCTCTGACAGCTTCCCAATCCTGCCCTCCCTTCACCTCGGTCATCAGCCTTCACCAAGCTCCAGGCACAAAACCCATGGCTGGTGCTTCTGTCTGAGCATCTGAATCAGGCAGAGTGGTCTAGAGACCCTAAGTCCCAAGTGGGATTGGGTCCAGAGCCTGACCCACTGGCTGGGGACTCATGGGCTCTGGCCCTCATGCTGACGCCAGTGTGACTGGCCCTTTCCTCAGCAGGATCCTGGGGACCCTGCCCTGTGTGAGGAGACCCAGTTCTCCATGCTGCCACTTGAGGGATTCAGCCTTCTGGAGGAAATGACATCAGAAGCCAAGGCCCCCTTCGCAGGCCCCGCAGCTGCCCTGCCACCCCAGGACGGAGGCCCCGGGTTCCTCAGTGAAGGACAGGCTACTCGGGCCTCCACAGCACCAGCTGCCCAGCCAGCTCACTCAGGCCAGTAGCCAGTGTCTGGCAGGCTTCGGAGGGGGCAACCCCCCATTCTCAGGTCAAAGGCAAGACTTCTTCTGTCATGTGGGACTTGGATGGGGGCTTCCCAGCATTTCTGTCCTGACTGCCCCTCAGGTTGTCAAGACCTAAAGTAGCCTCAGCAGGGACCTCCCTCCCTAGAACCTGGAGGGGTTCCTTCAGGAGCCCCTCCCTTGGACTAATGTCCCCCCTCACCTCTGCCTGGTACCCACATGACTTGGAACTGAACTAATGTTTTCCTTTAAAAAAAAAAAAAAGAGAAAAGAGAG